TTTTTTTTTTTTTTTTTTTGTGTCTGTATACTCTCAATCTCAGCTCTCATTGAACCAATTTTGATGAAAAATATGTCAAAAGATCACAAATCGTATCTAGTTGAAGACATTACCCTCAAAAATTGAAAAAAAATCCCTCGTTCTTCGTAAACGGGGGAAATCTCCCAAAAAATTACAAATTCAAAAATCGCTAATTTTCGATATTTTTTCATTTTTTTTTACTTAAAATTGCCAAAACTTTTTCAAAATTGAACAAATCAATATAATTCTTTTTTTTTATGGATGCATGATGTCTATAACTATCATTTGGTATATTTTTTTTATAAATCTACCTCTTTACCTGTCTACAGGGGGGATTTAAAATGACAACATTTTCACAAAAAATTTACTTTTTCAACTTAACTTTTGAAAATGTTCCATAAAGTCTGACACTTTTATATATATTTTAAATTAAAGCTAATGTAATGTACTTTATTATGGCAAAAAAAAATTTCGGAATTTATTTTATCTTCATGGTGAAAATGGATACCGAATGCTATTTTTGTGTAAAAATTCTGGATTTTATATTTTACATTTTTAATTTTATTATGCTATAACTTTTTGAAAAATGTATGGATAAATACAATTTTTTCATGAGAAGTATTATTTATATACATCTTTCATTCAACATACTTGTTTTTTAAATCGGATCATTTCCCTTAATACAGGGGGGGGGTTCAAATCTTTAAAATGCATATAGAAAGTAGAACTTTTTCAACTTAATTTTTGAAAGTGTTCAAGAAATACTGATACTTTTATATATATCTTAAATTAAAGCTTATGTAATATACTTTAATATTAAAAAATAAAATTTCGGACTTTATTTTGAGATCAGGGTGAAAATTGCTCTCGAATGCTATTTTTGTGTGAAAATTCTCGATTTTATTTTTAAAATTTTTAACTTTATAATACTATAACTTATTGAATAGTGTATGGATCAACACAATTTTTTTATGAAAAATAATATTTTTTAATAATCCCTTTTTCATTCGACATACTTTATCATAATCAGGATATTAATAAGGAACTAGCAGATCATGTAACTTTTGGAATAATCCATCAATTTTTTAAAATTAAACACTATCTAAAGATTTGCATCGAAGCGTTTTTTTTTATAGTGATTTTTGTGTTTGATGCTGCCGATCCAGTTCCCAGTTTCTTTTAATATCGCGAGTACGAATCTCTAATATTTTTCCAGCGCATTTTCGTTTCATTTACTACAAAATGATTAAATACATTTCAGAATTATTTTATGTTTTTGAATAAATGTAATGAAAATTATTTATTAAATTATATTATTTACCAAATTCTCAAATGTTTACCGATATATCTTTCCAAATTGTATCCTTAATTATAATATTTTTATAATCCGTAGAAGCTATATTATATAGTATAGGGTTATTTTGAACTTCTTGATCCCTCCCCCCTTGGGCAGGTATAGGGTCAATTTTTCATAAAATTATATCAAATAGTCGGTTAACATCTAAGGTACAAACAAATAATTAATTTATCTGTCATAACATATACCCTTTTGTACACTAGCCATTATATATGTATATACATGTTAAATTGATTATTGTATACTATGCATCTTATCTTAAAATAACTATTATGTTATGTTCAAATTTTATACAATAAACTGAAAATCACTAAAAGCGCTGACGGCAACAACTCATGATGGGGATAATTAAAAATAATATAAAAAGGCTTAGTTCTGCTTGCATATCAGTGAGCGAACGTGCCAGCGAGCGGCTCTCTTTCTCTTTTTGAAGATCTGAATTCAATAAAGAATTTAGAATTCTTCTATCTGATTTATTTTGATCAAACTTGCCGCGATCCCGTGTGGTCGTTGGTACATTTTAAAACGATATCGAATACAATTATTTTGCGGCAATACTTTATATATTTATTTAAAAGAAACAGTATAAATCTGAACGGAAGATATCTAAAAAGGTAAGTAAATTCATATTATCCCAATTATTTAGAATTAATAATCTGAGTAAAGAATGGTGTTTGATATTGGGGAAAAAACGCTAGATATATTTGTTATAGAATAGGTGGGGGGCGGTGCAGCGTAGGTTTTTGTTTGT